GGAAGTTGGGCCCTGGCAGCCTTTCTTGAACACTGGATCGCTGCCCGGATTCATCCTGCCAAGTGCGACCAGTGCGCTGACCGCGGTCAGCGGACCTTGCACCAAGACCGGACCTTGCACCCAGCATGTGAGGCCAGAAGACGTGTACAATGGCATGTGCTTTGAGGTTGCTGAGAGCATGTGCTGGGAGCAGTTTCCGTGAAGCGTTCGGGGGACGAATCATTTTTGTTTGGAGAAACTGGTACGGACCAGGCTTGGAACAAGAATCCCTCCTTGTTTGAGACCTTCATGAAGGCTAGTACATTCTCGGTGATGTCGGACATTGTGAGACATGACGTGCTGGGAGTTCTTAAAGAATCTCAAAACCGAAGATCACAGGGCGAACCGCCCAACGCCCGTCAGCTGCGTGTCTTCCGTGCCGCCCTTCGCCGTGCCGCGCTCGCGGAACGACGCGCTTGAGATCATTGAAGGGGGTTGAGGAAGGAAAACATAAAGGTTGTGGGCAAGACATCAGCAGTTGAAGCTGTTCGAAAGCGATGTGTTTTTTCAGATCTTGGGCTTTGATGTGATGTTGGATCAGAAGCTGCAGCCGTGGCTATTGGAGGTCGTGGGGACATGAGGGCCGCTCAAAGAATTGTTGCCAAACTAGGAACGGAGCAGGATCTAGTTTCCAGCTTGGATGAACTGTTTCTTTTTTGTGTGAGCTTGCTTGCCAGATGAATAAGATGCAGGTAATGCGTATCTAGTCACTGTGCAATGTCTGCATAGATTTATTTTGATTATGTTGATTTTGTCGATTGATTTCCATTTGTTGCAGGATGTTTCAGGCCATGTGCGAAATTCAAGACAAGGTGAGAAAGGAAATTCAACACCACTCACCCAGTGGAACTGTAGTGTTACCCGTTGAGTCTGCCAGGTGAACCATGCGCCCTCCTTCGCGACGGAGTCCGAGCTGGATCACCAAGTGAAACATGAGGCCAGGGGCTGATCCCTCCAAGGATGGACCTGCGTGAGCTCCAATTCCTTTTGTCAGGAACTTGTTTTGTCAGCCATCTCACTCGAAAGAGACTTGCAAATAGGAGGCCAAGCTTCTTGTGCAATTTGCTTGGACATGGCTGGCTAGGATGCCTCAAACTTGACCAGAGAACCACTGTGCAAGCTCCGCAACAATCCAAACCATAAGAGAGAGAGAGAGAGAGAGATAGAGAGATAGAGAGATAGAGAGATAGAGAGATAGAGAGAGAGAGAGATCTTAGATCCAAATCAGGTGAAAGGTTCTCTGAGAAAGGTGTTGAAGGCTACATGTCCATGGAGTCTTCGCAATGTTGCGCGGAGTCTTCGGAGATGGGTTTGAAGGATCTGGCGCTAGCAAAGCAACCTCTCCATTGCCTCTTTCTTGCTGCACTTTGGACCTCCAGTTTCCTTTTTGGCACGTGGCCCACGTGGCCTTTGTCTGAGGGTTGGCGATTCTTTGTGCCAGTGACTGTGGCATGCCGCGCAGGCTTCACTATAGCTTAGGCATTTTTCACCAAAGTCCCTGGCCATGAACCCCAAGTCCCTGGCCAGTCCCTATCCAATGCTCTCTCAGATCATGGCTTTCCTTCTTAGTGGTCGGCGCCGCTTGAATGAGATGCTTTTCCATGATCTTCACCATGCTTTTCCCAACGCAGTGGGTGCACTAAGCCTGGTGAAGATCGTTTCCATGGCTGGGAAAAGGTACACAGTGCGGCTGTGGATGTCTTTGAGGCGTGGCTTGTTCTGGCCGCAGGCAGACGGCAACCAGGAACCGCCCATCCAGATCCAGCACAAGCGCTCCTTGTTGGTTGAGTCATGTCATGCTGCCCACTTAAACAGCTGAGTTTCAGGGCAGGTGGTCACTTCATCATCCTTAGCACGGACTCCTAGAAGAGAGCCAGTGTCCAGGATGTAATGTATGTTCGAGCAAGCTGTTTACAAGAGTCCGTGCTCAGTGCACCTGTTGAGTGCCCCTGTTTTGCTCGACCCAGTCGTGCCAGCACCTTAGTCGGTTCCACGCGGGGAGCCCATGGAGCGAGCCGGTGAGTGGCAGCGTGCAGCGGAAAAAAACGGAAAAAACATACCCCCGAAACATGGATGTCACAGGTCTACTTCCGGCATCACTGCGTTGCAGGTCCTTCAAGACAGCTTTAACTTGCTGGACTTGAATCCTGAAGTAAGACGCCAGAAGAAGCGGGAGGCAGGAACTGATTGTTGGGAGCTTTGTTGAACAAGTTGCTTCACTTGCTTGTAATCAAGATCATGCAACCTTTGAAACAACCGACCTCTATGGAGGGGTCTATGTAAGAACATGGACCCATTTGTTGGAGATCTTCGATTGATGTCCACAGCCTTTCTCGCTTCCCCCGGTTCGGTGCATTTGGGTCCAGAGGCGCGTGAACGGATGGAGCAGCGAGTCCTGGCCTCAAAGTCTCCGCGAGTCCTGCAAAAGACATGCGCCAGTTAGTTAGCAAAAGATAGAGACCGAGTTTTGGCGCCAACGATAGATAGACACCGGAACATTGCCATGATCATACACTGGTGGTGTCTATCTGTTGCGCCACGGAACTTTTGGCCGGACAGATAGACACCACAAAACCATGTTCAATCACTTGGATTTTTGAAGCTGCTCAATAGGCATCCGGACAAGCTACTCAAGGACATGCTGTGTGAACACCCTCCCACAGATGATTCTGTTGAGTTTGGGGTTGGGGGAGTATGGGTTGTAACTCCAAACCACGTTTCGGTGTTCTTTTTGGGATGCGAACGAAGCGGCCGCTCAGTCCTTGGGCAAGAAGCCCTGCATTGAAGATCGCATTGCTCAGGAGTGTCAGTCGTCAGTGTCCGGCCATGCGCCATGCCATGGTCTAATGTCTTTTTCGGTTTCCGACTGCGAGCCAACTCTGAGTGGTGACATGGCCTCTCAACACGATACAATGGTCCATGGTGCATTGCTTTCATCTTCTTGATCTTCTTAATCCCCCAGAATCCAAATCTACAAGAAAATCACAGTTAAAATCTTCAATTGCTGTGCATTTCTCCCCAATCAACCCATTCCCTGGACTTCCGCCGTGCAGGAGCGCGAGTTCGCCTTGATCCGAAACGACTGGGAAGATGCACAGCTTCAAAACGGCTGCAGCGGGTACGCATGGGGCGCATCCATCATCCCACGAGACGACGAGCCTTCCAACAAGCAAAAGCTTCCACAGCCTTTGTGCAAAAGCCTTTGTGACAAGCCTTTGTGTGCATGAAACAGCATTCGAAGCATGGAACGCATCCGAATTCCGAACGCTGTTTCGAGGTACAAGCGCTTGTATCCTTCTCCAGAGAAGGAGAAGGCATATTGGCAGGCTCGGCCTTTTGCATGGACGACTGCCCTGGATTTCTTGTGGCTTTATGGCCTCCGAACCACTCTCAGCAGCTTTCGTGCTTTCTTTACCACACTTGGTTTTGAAACTGCTTTGGGAAAGACATTGTTAGTCAGTTAAGAGGTGTTGATTTTGAGGGGTTCCTGATTAAAGAGTACTACTTATAAGAGATGGGGGTTCTCACTTGCAGAATATTTTTTGGATTCCCTCAATTGAATCGCTTTTGGACGAACCCTCCTCAGTTCACTCCGTATCACCCAGTTTCATCATTGGTCAGATATCCTCGACCTCAGAGGTGCATGATGCGGCAATCAACATTTGGGAGATGATGATGGGTGGGACCTTTCGTCGAGCTGCATGGGGACCTGGATGAGACACACTGGCTACGGAAAGGTATCTGCACATATCTGCTCTTTTTCAACAGATTGTGCCAAGAACTCCACCGATATCCTTCAACATGCGGTGGCCATCTCTTACGTTAAGCCAGCAATTAAGCAACACATGCGTGTCCGAACAACATCAGTTTCCGAACGATCACCATTCCAATTTGCGACTCCCAAGAACGATACCAGTGTGGTAAAAGCGCAATCTTTTGGAGTTCAACCCAGCTCTTTCAACTGGAGCTTTCGGAGCCTTCGGTGGATTTTGCTGGCTGATTTGGTGCCTGGAAAAGGCCGGAGACCTGAGGTCCGCCTGTCTGACCCCCTGGAGAAGCCCCCTGTGGATGAGTCACGCGTGGCCGGGGCACTGTCATGGCACGTCGTGGTCGGGGCGTCATGTCACGTGGTTTGTGTTCTCGTTACGTTCGTAGCTTCTTGTGACTAGTAGTAATGCCCTTGTTACTAGTGTATAGTAGTGCCCTTGTTCCTAGTAACTAGCTAAGAACACTTTCCGTGGCTTTAAAGGCGTGGGCTTCAAACATGTGCGTCACTGGTCATCCTGAGATGAGTGTAGTAAGGGGCGTAGCAGTGGAAGGATGTGCCAACTAGTCTGGACACTTGGGGGTTTGACTGATTTCGGGGAATCTCTTTGCAAATCTGATTTGTTGAGAGAAGCAGTGGAAGCAGTTGCACAAACATTGGGAGATTGTGTGGTTTGGCCGAGAGAGCACCCTTTACGCCAGCTTGGCCGCCTGGCGAGATCTCACCAGGAACCAGCCGAATAAAGTTGACTGGGCCAGCTGGACTGATCAACATTCCAGTAAGTGAAGCTTGATGAACTTCATGAACACACCAGAATTCCGGAATGCAATGCATTCACTTATATACCAGGGAACAAGTCCGAAGCAGGTTGCCTTGAAGCATCATCCGTGGTCCAGCGCAGCAGTTCAAACCTCAAGTCGTGCTGGTGTTGTTGGAGCAGCAAGAGTGAACACCGGCCTTATCAGGTCACTTTCTACGCATTTTTTACTTCCTAAACCTCTTGCCATAAACCCCTTGCCATTCGAAAAGATGATGGGCTTGGTGAGCACAGCAAAAAAAGGTGGTGAACACACCAAAGGCGGTGGCCGCTTTGGCCTTCACGTTCAAATGATGCATTTACGTCAAATCGATCTGGGTCCCAGCTGGCGTCAACTCCCCCACCAAGCTTGATCAGCTCCGCTTCAATTCTGCTGTCATGGTGCAGTTCTCCGTGCTGGTTTGTGTGGATTCTTGGTGTGTAACAAGAAAGCGCTCGGGGTTGCAGATCCAAGACTGCTGGCTTGGCCGGTTAATTGAGATACTGAAGAATTCTAGCCGGGTAACTTTAAGATCATTCATGTTTTCAGATGCAGGTAATGCATCAATAGAGGATTAGCTTCGCTTGCATGTTGAGTCTTTCAAACAATCCAGGCCCTTGACAGGAGTCGCTTCTTACATCCTTCCCCAAGATGCTTTTGAAACCGGGCTCAAGACCAAAGTCCAATCTGGTGAAGCACAAAAAAATCGTGGTGCATGAGGCCTCCTTTGAAGAGGCCTTCTCAAAGAGACCCTCACCATTTTGTTTTTAGATATTTTTTATTTTTCCAATTCGAAGGTTCCGAATGAGAAACATGACACCCTCCGAGGAGCACGAGCTCCACAGTGTTCCGTGGTGGTCGCCTCGTGTTGTCTCGGCCGGAAACCAGGCCCTGGTGGCAGCAGTGGGCGCTTGGTGTGTTGCAGCCTTGGCAGAGCTGAATGTTTCGGTTCTGGATGCGACTGCAAGCCCAGTGCAGCTGAGCTCGCTGTCCCTTGGATGCCTGGAACAGAGATTTGCAGAGCAGTCGGGGTTGAGTGGGAGTAGTAAACCTCAGAGTTTCTTGGGGCTTACAGTGGATGGCCTGGCCTCGAAAGGATGACCATGAAATCCGAAGATGAAGGATGGCTTCGGTGGGTGGAGCTTTCCAGTTCCAATGACCTGGGAATCCGAGTACCACCGGTCGGCTGGTGATGGGCAGCCGGTCGGCTGTCTCAAGCCGACCTGCCGCGGCGCGAGGTTCCTCCGATGCGGTCGGTGCCAGGTTCCTCCGTGGTGTCGGGGCGACGCTGTGGTGTCGGACGCTCTACTGCTCGTACGCGGACACCACCCCGCTGGCCATCCAGCACCGAGGACATAAGGCAGATGGGGAAATGAAAGCTGAAGGAAGAAGGTCATTAGAAAGGGAGAAAGTAAGGAAAGGTCTAAAGAAAAAGAAAAAGAAAAGAAAAGAAGACATAGAACATCCTGAAGTTTCACAAGTTTTAGCTACTCGTTGGACCTTGAAAAACTCGCTGAATCGATGCTGACCCAAACATTCGACCGGACCTACGGTGGGACCAGAAACGCCGCCAGGTGCATGTCCGTCATTTGGGCCGATTCATCACCTTCACCCTCTGGTGCAACTGCATGCTGGCATTGTGCTGTGGCCTGAAATTGGAGTCCAGTTGGGTTTCTCAAGGTACTCAACAGAAAGATAAGTGTTTGTGTGAAAATGAGTTACATGATGTTACATGTGTTTGAACATAGTAGGTCCACCCAAATCGGCCTTTTTTGCATGGGAACATCGGGTTTCACCCGTGGGACCGCAGGACTTGACCCTGGATCCTTGGGTCGGTCAAGCCATTTTGGCCGCGACTTGTAGGGACAACACGAAGCATGGCGACAGAACGCTACGCCGCGACCTGTGTTTTGGGACGCACAAACATTTGAGAACCATACAGTATATACTGCTACATGTACTGCTATGATGTTCGTTTTTCTTGAACATTTTGCAGCCAGCTACCAGAAGCTGGCTGTGCTCGCCCCAGCTCCCTGGCTCGGCAGGTATTGGCTCTCCAGTCTTCTGGTGGCTGTTTTGGCGATGCAAGGGCTGCAGGTGCGTGACACTCTCGATATAAAGTCACCTTTTTGGACTTAAACCCCTGGGCAGCTCGCGTCTGAGGCGGGGTTGTTTGAAACCTCCTCTCTCTTCAAACATCGCGTCTGGAACTCCGGAGGTGCCTGCTGCCTTGCAGCGCCTCACGGTGGTCCTTTGGCAAATCACAGGCCTGGGAGTCCGATGTGTCGCGCGAAACCCCTAAAAATGGGGTGACTCCAAGAGGTGCAATGTAGAGAGACTCAGGGTGACTCCAGATGGGTACCTCATGGTATCTACTGTATCTTGGGCAACTTTTGCCTCATAAAGGAACGTTTTCATGGAGAAAGGATTTGGAAGTGTTCAAAGCTTCGCTTTCGGCCACCTGTGCCTCATCCACTGAGGCCCTTTGTCGTGGTTGGTCTCGATGGTGGTGACCTTCGTCTTGCTGCCCGCGGCCTATCGCAAGGAACCCGAGAAGATTGACGTGATGCTGGGCTGGCGGCCGCAAGTCTTACACAACGGAGACTTGGTGGGTCCCGGGACGGTTGGTGTTATTTTTCAGGACACGTTTTTGCAGGGCAGGGAGTTTTAGGGTTTGCTTGGCCTTCTAAATAGTTTTCTGGCGTCCTTGCCACAGGTGAATGGGAAGCGGGTTCAAGTGGCTTCAACAACTTGTACAACAGTGGTCCTTGACATACAGGCTTTGTTGCGACTCGTGACATTCAAAGCTGCCTCCGAACGCCAACAGAACACAAGGAGTTGAGCTTTAGGCGACGCCTCACAACCTGAGAAAGAGCTTTTCGCCGTCAGGGACTTCGATCGACTGCGAAAAAAAAAAGAAGGCCGCTTCTGTTCGTTCCTCACTGCCCCTGTTGGAATCGAGAAAAACCACCGTACCTTCAGGATATGTGCTCTTTTGTGCACTGGAGTTGATCATCTCCAGACCACCCATGGTACCCGAGCTCTTTCCACTGATGATCCTCTTCGGCCTTTGCCACCAAGCAGCAAGGGGGGTGACTGGAGGGCCAGCAGCTGACAGCTGGAAAAGAACACGTTTCGACTTCACCAAAGAACTGCGAACTCTGAGTTCTGACTCTTCAACATTTACTTTGTGTAGACCTATAGGCGCATGATGTACATCTTGAGCAAAGCTTTCGATTCTGCTGCAGGCTACATCACCTTTGCGTGGTTTCTATATTTGCGCCTGCGCATCTACGTGTATTTCTTCCTGGACCCTACCATGGTTTGGGCGCCACTGGCCTACCTGGCGCTCCTAGGGGCAGCTTAGATGAGACAACCGTGCGTGGAGGGCATCACCAAAACTAGAAGATGAAAGAACACATTTCCTCGCTGTTCAACATAGCCCCCGAACCCCCAATTGCAAGAATCTTAACCCTTCTCAACACCCACTCAAATCACCAAGCTGACAGAACTCAGGCGACAGCAGGTTTCTTCTCGATGAGCACTTGGCTCACGCGCCATCTCTCCTCCACGGAGCACCCCACCCTAAGCTGCTGGGCAGTACTGCTGGCTGCGCTGGGGACCTGCACCTGGCGCAAGCGCAAAGAGGAGAAGACTTGAAAAGAAGACGCCGAACGCCACCCGCCACGCGCGCCGCGCTCGGACCCGTCGGTCGCCGGAGACGGTCGAAGGTCGAGAAAGCTGCCCGGGCGAACTCGGCGGCGAAAGCGGCCATGGCCGGTGCGGATGCTGAGTGCAATGGACCTTGAGACCCCAAGAGTGGGCTTTTGTAACGAAGTTCTTGAAGACTTTGCTGGGAGATGTTGGGTGAAGGGCGGCAACGGCTTGTAGACTGTGTCGTGGTTCGGTGATGAGTGGCGGTTCATGGGTCCATCAGGCGTACGAGAATGGCGATATGGGCGTACGCAGCTTGTGGTGTCATTCGTAGTCAGAACCATCAAACACACAGGATCATGTCCAACAATACCCGTCTGAACACCCCACGATGCAGTCCAAACATATCGCCACGACCAGAAGACTCGCAATGCGCTCGGATTTGGGGGCCTGAGGGAATCCCTCCAACTTTGGGAGAAAAGACCCTCCAGCTCTGTGTGTTCGGTTCCCTCGGCTCTTCTGCTCTTCGCCTCGTCCAGGAGAAGAGACGAAGGTTGAGGCGAAACGCACCGCCGAGGAGATACGGGAGGCCGCGCCGGCCACCGTATACTCGTAAGGCGGTCTTATGCCTGCCATCTGTGCAGTCGTTGTGTTGGGGAAGATGGCCGAGGGGTACATCAAAGCTGAAACCACGATCACGGCATTTCAGCATTTGATCCAGGGCTCCGGGCTGTTGACCCCGCCATGAGCTGCATGAATGCCAGAAGAGAACGTCACTGGATGACGGACTATCAGGCTATCAGCCAATGTTCCAAGTTGAAGAACTCAAGGGAGCTCCAATTCGCTTGAGATATCCACCATTTGGATAACACCTCCGACACCTCCAGTTCCGCGTCGACCATCTTCGGTGATGCCTTCGTGCCAGTTCTCTGGATCGCTGGGCGGGGGTCGAGCGATTGGCGCAGGTGGTCGAGCGATTGGCGCAGGGCTGCAGCGCGCGGCCCCGGAAGAACACCCGGAAGCGTGGCAAGGTGAGGGGGTGGACGGAGAAGGAGGTTGAATTTGGAGGGGATTACCTACTAGACTCTCTAGACTTTGGCACGTGCTGTAGGGCTCATTTTGGTTGATGATACAGTTGAGATGAGATTGTTTGGAGGGTAGCTGTGGCAACATGCAGGTCCAACCACGTCCATAGCAAATGCGAGTGATGCCGGGAATTGTTACAGCGTCGACCCTTTTCATGGACGTGCAAGTGATCTGGTTTTCATGTTTCCGGAGGGTTTCCCTTCCAATTTGATATATAGTATCAAAGGTTAACAGTCTTATCCCGGTTTCTGCGACAGACAGCCAGGAGGAAGAGAAGGATGAGGCTCCAGGCGCACAATTTCTCTCCGAAGAAGACAACACACACAAAGATTTGCGCTGTATTTGTTGCGATGATGGAAGATCAATTTGTTGACGTTTCAGCAATAGCTCTTCCTGTTTCAAGGACCAATGTTCACAGGAGCTCTGTGTCTACCAAACTTCAAAGAACGGTTGTCCGTGTCGGGCCAGGCACCAGTGAGGTGCCTGGGCCAGCAGAACAACGGAGGCGCCAGTGGGGTGACGCTGAAGTGAGGGGTGGAGCTAAAACGAGTCAAAACGTGACACTTGGGAGATGGTGGGGAATGGTCAAGAAAGCTATACGAAGAGTGGTGCTTTCAAATTTGAAACACAAGTCTCAACTTCATTTTGGAGATCCACCAGTGCTGAGTAGTGCTGTACCTCCAGTTGCCTGAACACACAATCCCATCTGGATCCAATTGGTATGTTTCTTCTTTTTCGAACCAATCTACATCATTTGATTGGGATTTTCCAACAGTAGGACCTCACTTCGGACAGCTTTCGGGGCCTGAGGTCACTGGGGTCCGCATGAGGGCCATGGCGAGTCGGTTTGGGGGACGTTGGCCCAAGGGGTACTTGAGATGAACAAATACATGTTGTGTGAGGCGTGAGGATGTCTCAATTTGACACCTTCTTTGTGAGACCTTCCGTGTAAAAAAATCATTGGAAGCCAAAAGTGTTGTTGACTGTCAGGTTCACCCAGCACACGCAACCACTCATATCACACAGATTCTCTAGCTTTGCACAGCTCAGAACCCTCGTGTTGGGTCGCCCCTTCCCGTGACACGCTTTGCGCCAACCGTGCCTTTAGGAGCCACTCGAACCGATATATTGATGTGCAGGCCAGCTGGGATTGGGACGGACTGTGCAGTGCTGTTGGGACGGACTTCTTGTGCAATATCTCGGTGTCATGACCTCCAAGATGGGTATGCCATCTGAACGCAGACCCATCGGGATGCAGCTACCTCGGTGTGCTCAGGTAGGGGATCTCATCCGCGTGCAGACAAACCTGGGCTGGGAGACGGTCACCGTGAGGCTGGGAGACGGTCACCGTGGGGGTTCTGCTACAAAAGGATCCTCCAAGAAAGCAAGGAAGAAAGGAAGAAAGACCGGAAAGAAGGGTTTCAAAAGGTCAAAGAAAAACATGCACTGACTTGCACTTGCACGAATGACATACCCCTCACCTGCCCACCTGGAAACGCGCAAAACGCAGCGATTTCCGAGCCGAGGGCCAAGCGGCCGGGGACTGGAAAGATCGACATCCAGTTCAAGGATGGAGAGTGCCCTGTGCTACGTAGGGTAGCAAGTGCATCGCCAGTAATAAGGGGCATCGCTACTTAGCTTCTAAGCTACTAGGTAACAAGGGCATCGCAAAGTGGAGGCGCGACTGAGAGATGTTGGTGACCACGGAGAGATGTGACCAGGAGAGAGACCAGAGGGGAGAGATGAGAGAGAGGTGACCGGGTTTTTCTGTGCCCTGGCGACTGTGGTAACCACAGGGTAGCTTGGAGACGGACGCCCTCGGAAGCCAGATCTTGGAGCCTTGGACCTGAGGTCATCCCCTAAAGCTCCAAGAAGTTCCAAGAAGCTTTAAGTTACAATCAAGAATCGCAAATTGCAGGCATCTCCTTCAACACCTGGAATGTATGGAGGTTTGAACGTGTCTTTTTTGAGAGCGAACACGGTCATCATCAAACACGGTCAACATCCCGGCCGGTGTGCAAAACCTGATGGGATCCGTAGATCCCTAGCCAGATTCCACATCCATCCGACTGCGCCCGGCCTCGCAGGTACATGCGCGCGGTGATGCCTCGCATCCTTCGCAACGCCGAAGGACTGCCGGTGAAGGAAACCCACGAGGCGCGGCAAAGGATGGGCGGCCAAAGACTAGGTTCGTAGCTTCTTGTTACTAGTAGTAATGGCCTCCAATAGCCATGGCCTCCAACCTACTAGCTTCTTGTTACTTCATTCTAGGTCGGCCAAAGAGCCAGAATTCGACATGCCACGATCATTTGAAGAAACGCAGACTCCGAGGGGTCAGAAAATAGGATCCGTGGCCCGTACGAACGTGAGGTGAATTCAGCATTTTGCTTGGCCTGTTTGCTCCTTGAAGTTTGGATTGCAGCCATGATAGCAAGATCAGTTTGGCATGTTTTGGTCAATTTCAGTTGTGGGTGGGTCCACAGCCTTTCTGCTGCCACTGCCACCAGTTGCCCACTACAGCCTTGCCACCACCATGGCCATCGCGGTCAAGTAGCTTGCTTGCAATGGACCCACCAGATCGTCCATGAGTCTTTCTTCTCATAGAAGTAGCTTGACAAGCGGCATTGGGGTCTCATCAGAGCACCCAGATCGCTCCCTACGATGCAGATCAAACTGGGCCCTCCTACCCCAAATTCACAGAGTAATCAGATATTCATGATCTTCATGCTGGGCGGAGCAATTTCTTCAGAGATAGGACATTCGCGTAAGTCTTCTTTGGTGAGGAATTCCAGACCTATGACAACATCGAAAAAGACAGTGGAGTCTTTACAATTCAATTGCACCTGGCACCTCTTGATTTCAGGCCAAGTGGGGCCCCACACTGCGCCACCGATGGCGCCGGTACCGGTTTCCAGTTCGGGGGCGGTGCCGCAGAAGCTTGCAGGATACAAAGGAGGCCGAGAAACGCTCGGGGGAGTGCAACGACGTCCGCGGAGAACGCACGCGGCGTCAACGCGACCTTGGTTCAGAAGGGATTTTGTTCTTGCACTTGTTGTTTTTTTTCAGGACAGGACATTACAAGAAGGCATTGTATCCAAGCAAGGAAGCCAATCAGTGTGCGATTTTGTCAGGATTCCGATGAAAGTTGATTGGTCCATATTGGTTCTGTGTATTTCCGCAGAAGTGGGCTTTGGAGGCGGAGAGGTGTCGAGGAAACGTTCTGGTGAGCATCCTAAGAAGAACATCGACAAAAAAGAGTCAGAACATCAGGTGTAAAGGTGGAGAAGATCGTTAAGAACTCTTCATTTCTGGCCGTCGATCGGGCCGTCTGACGTTGCAGGCCTTGCTAGTTCACCAGGACGTCAAGGGCATCCTGGCCTCGCATGGGGCCCAGATCCTGGCCGAGAGGTCGAAGGATCCGATCATCCGTTGCGCCATGGGGCTTCACTACCAGACTCTGCTCGTTGCGCTTTATGTCCGAGGCTGAAGAGCCATCCCCACGGGAAACGCAGGAGCGAAAGGGATGTGAGTTGCACCAGGGGGAAGCCTGTGGAGGCCTGCATGATGGAGGTCTTCATGTTTTCTTAGAAACGACTGAGTTCTGGGCGACCCGTGGCTAGCGGCTAGAGCTTATTGACCCGCAGTTTTCCGGGCTGCAGGATGCTTTGGCGGGTGCCATCATGGAGGGCTGTGGCGTGGAACTGCGAGAACAACGCCCCTTGGACGTATCTACTTGCTTTGGGGTGGATGTGCAGATCTAAGTGTGGGTATTTGATGGAAGATCCTGCCTGGTCAAGCAATGCCCCAGTTTAAACTTTAAACACAAAGTACAGTAGGTTCTCTTCCACTGTGGGAGGTCCAGTTGGGCCTCCCAGCATTGGGGCATCATAAGATGAATATCCATTCAGCCAACAAGACACCGCTGTTGCACGAGCAGAAACGGACAGTTGCGCCACTTCCAACTCTGTCCTTCTCATGGCTTGCTGGTCATGGTGTGGCTGGTCATTTGCGCATGAAAAGACACGTGAAGGTGTTGAGCACCATTGCAAGAGTGAACCAACGCATTTGATGGGCGCCCATCATCACCGGACGTGGAAGTGGAGAAAATTGCCCTCTGGGAAAAACCCATGTTCCTCCACGCACGGATCTCAGCACGGATCACAGCCCCTGGAACCTGCGACCCTGGGAGCTTTGACAGGTCAGTTCAGTGGTGCAACCCACGCAAATTAGAGCAGGTTTATGGCCTTGGTGTGGTGAGTTCAATAGCGTTGGCAGTGGAACCTTTTTTGAGCAACAATTTCGAGGCAACGATTTTGAGGCCGCTTCAACGTCTCTGCCGAAACCTCCGGGGTTCGAGCCCCCAGGTACCCAGCAAGTCCAATTCCCTGCTTCAATTCCAACCCTCCGCCTGCCAATCCTCTCGCAGCTCAGAAAATGGACTCTCAACTGCCACAGGCGGATGGAGGGGCTCTCGGTCATCAGAAATGAACATCTTAATGGCTCAAAAGGAACATGGAAACTCAACGACCTTCAAGTTACTGCCATTTTTCTGCAATATGTTCAAGTTGTGGTCTAGATGAAGAAGGTGTCAAGGATCTTTCCAAGTAGCCTTTTTTGAGTGTTCATCGGGCTCACCATCACCCGCTGGTCTGCTGGGCAGGCCGACCTGCAGGCCGCTTGGCGCCTGCAGCCAAGGCGCCGGCGGCTGGGGCCCAAGAAGATCGCCAGACTCTTTGAGTCTGTTGAGGTTAAGAGGTGAAGGAATTCTCATTTTGCAGAGAAGTGACATCTAAGTCAAAGGCATAATGAAAGTCCACAGTGCACAGAGTCAAGACCCTGCTTTATGGTGGAACGTATTGATGTTTGGGGACCCATCTTCTCAAATGACGACGCCCCGGTGAGCCTCTGCTTACCGTTCACTGTAGCAGCTTTGCTTGGCCCACAGAGACATGTTCGTCCGCAGAGACAGACCTTTCTTTCATCTCCCCTGTTTCACTTGTTGAGGGTCTATATATCTTTTCTGGTTCTACGCTGTCATTTTTATCGTGTTTAAGTTCGAGGGCAAAGCCAAATTAACCAAACTTGCTCAATTGTTCTTGAGGTTGACACTTACAGTTGATCAAAGTTGTCTGATGGCAGTTGGATCTTTGTATCTGCTATTACTTTTCTCAATGAGATCATGCCTCACTACTGTATGTAGGTTTTTGTGTGGAATCGGCAATCGCTTTCCACACGAGGCACGCTTGAAGCAACAGCTTCAACAGCTGATTTCTGCACGCCCCATTGTCGTCCCCAAGGCAGGGAAATTGGGACTCAGAAGTCATCCTTTCTGCACTTGCCGGTGTTGTGCTCTTCGGTTGGAAGGAGGCGTCTTTAACGCCTTTTTTCTCAACCATATAAAGTGGCACAACTAGGTGCAGAAGACGTGATTCAACAGGCGTCAAGTTTGGATGCGAACCTTCGAAGTTAAATTCGGGGCTGGCCGAAAAGTAAGGACATGCTTGACAAAGTGGGGGGCAAACTTGTCAGTCCATTCTCATTCATTTGACACCACTTGAAGGTGTTTTGGATTCTTTTTGGAAGACAGCATCCGCCTTGTTTGATGGGCTCCGGACGTCGTTGGACCCCAGGGTCAGCCCCGTCTCGTTCGTTCGGGTGCGTCCGTCTCGTTCGGTCAGGTGCAAACGCGCAGCCCCTCGATGCCACGGAACGCGCCGGTGCCGGAGCCCGTTTTAGGCGCGGAAAGCGGGGGGAAAGCGGGGGGGAACGACCGAGAGACCGGACCCTGGGCGGTCCCGAAGTGGGAGAAGACGGAGATGGGCGACGTCATTTTCGGCTTTGCCCACACGGTCGCCGAGGAGCGACGTCTGTAGCACTTCGTTCGTTTTATGTTTTGCTAAGCAGCTTCGCACCAATCGAAGGGCATTTCAGTTCACCGGAGGTCATGGCCTGGTTGGGTCCGCCATGAAGGCCGACTCCAAGATCAGGCGCGCGGTTACGGAGCGGTCACGGTTTGTTGGAAGAGGAAGCCTTCATTGGAATTGCATTAGCTTCACGAATAGGTACACATTGTGTACTCAGCACCTTCATGGGCTCTGATATGATTTAGATGTTGGGTTACACACCCACTTGGCACTTTGCAAGTTTCAACACGAAGCGCTTGCAAGTGGGTCTTGATATTGAACTATGCATACTTCACAACATGGCCTTCATATTTCTTCCGAACGGGATCCTCCAAGTCGATGAGCATGTTTTTCCTTGCAGCGACTTTCTCCCTGTTTTCTTTATTTCTTTTCAGTCAGCTCGCACGGTGTCCTGCGGAGCCATCTGGACCGGACCGGTGTGGGCCAAGACGGACCCCCGGCGAGAGGAGGCTCCGAGCCCATTCTCGGAGCCCAGGTGGAGCAATTCTTCAAAGAAGGTTGACCATTGTGACCGAACGACCGGATGATGGAAGAAGATCAACTCCTTGGGTTATTGAACAGAGAGAGAACTCACCACCAACGGTTTTTTTGTTTTTTCCGGCTCCGTAGAAGATCTTAAAGCTCCTAGTTCCATCATCAGAAGCTTCAGGACAATTCTCATTGCAAAGAAACCTTGGTGTCATGAAAGCTATTCATGTCTGTTCATCGTTTCCTCCATCTTTTAAGACCCAATTGATTTGGAGTGCCTTTGGTCCTTATTTGGTGATGGGGTCAACCGGTTCAAACCAGATGCTGCTCTATCAATCGACCGGTGCGAGCGGGGCGACCGGTGCAGGATTCGCTCCTCTGAAAGCTAGTCTGAGGATTAGGCCGGAGGACGGAGACTCTCTGGGGAGACGGATTCCACCCTGATTCAGTGCAAGGGACTGTGCTGCCTGGGGTTCCGTGCCGGGCTGGGCTTGGCCCGTGACACCCGTGAAACCAACCTGGGATGGCCCGCCGATCTTTCGAATGACCTTGGATACAACCTTGGCATTCCCATCTTTTGCTCCGTGGAGGTCGTCGCCGTCTCACAAGGCTGGGGAGCTGAGGAATGCGGAGGCTCTCGAAAACCACGCACTAAAGCGCGGTTTGGGTTCTGTTCAATGGTGTTCTTTTTGAAAAACGGGAGGTCTTTGGGGTCTCCTATGTAAGATATGCAGTCCGGAGGCTCTCTTGAAGAGGAATTGCTTGGACCACACGACATCTTCGTTTCAACTGCTTGGATGAGAGGTGCTTCACGCCTCAAACCGCCCTCGTGGCCGTCGGGACCGGTCCTTTGGTCCCGCGCGCTCACCGCGCTCACCCAGGTCCGGGCCGAGAGCTTGACCCGGGTCGCGCGGTCAGACCGCGGTGACGCACCCAGCGACCTCCGAAGGAGTCGGTTGGGTTCGGTCACCGGGGGTCGGTGGCACGCGGCCCCGGCCCCAGAAAGCGCCCTTCCAGTGGGCTGAGCAGGCGCCAGTATTCGGTGCCTTCTTGGGGTCAGAAGAAGCATCATTTCTGCTGGATTGCACTATTTCAAATGCTGGCCCACTGGCCCAGTGCTGGTAAGTTTGACCATGGTGAGGTGCTAGAAGTCTGGCTATGCAAGGGCCCAAGGAAAGGTTTGGAACATGTTAGGTGATGGCTTGCTCTTCATTCTTTGCTATGAAATACCATGAATTGCACTTCTTCATTATATACAACTCCAACAGATGCAAGACACTAGCTAAACATGATACTGGGGATGAGCAGACCAGCAGGACCCGCCCCATTACCCAGGATTAGCTGACTTGGACTGATGATGCTGTGGTCAAGAATCTAGATAGAGAGGCTTCAACTTCTAGGAATTCGATGCTTTTTTGCACCCAGGGTGAGAATGAAGAAGCTCTGACACGCGCCTTTCTTTTTGCAGTGATTTCGTCCACTGCAGACAAGAACAACAATCTGATCACTGAGCCAGCTCTCCCTGTGCTTTGTGCTGAATACCACGCATTGTGCGTGGCTGCCAATGCCCAGAGAGTGCTCTGGAACACAAGAAGTGACTACAAGATAGTCATGCAGCATGGGCAACTGTATCCCGTTGACATTCAAAGAAGTTCCCGGCAAAAAGATGCAAAAAGCCTTTCCAAAGGACACAACTGCACGAAGCATATGCCACCCGTGTTGCATGAAAAGGACAATTGCTTCTTTGGTCGCCGATTTCAATGTTTCTCGGCCGTTGTGTCATGATCTGAGACCTTGATGGTGATAGACTAGTGACCAAGCGACTAGTCTATGGATTGTTTGTCTTCTCTTTGCCAGGGTTTCCCTCCCAAACTGACACTACCAGCGCCCTGCTTCGCTCACCATCTTCCGCTGTGCTCTCTGGGCCCTGCGCCGCGTGGCTTGGCGAACGTCCCGTCGAGGAGGTGGTTGCATTCGTCGCTCCTCCCCGGCCCCCGGCAGCCGGACTCGGCCGCAGTTGACGCAGGGGGTGGGGCCGGAATCGGCCGATTCGGGAGCGTTTTTGGATGTGAATCACCATCTCCCAGAAAAGAATGTGGTTCACAAAACATACAAAGCTCTGGGACAGGTCGAAAGGTTTGATTGAGGGGGGAGTCAACTGCGGCATGGCTGCTCCAAATTTCTGAATCGCTTGCGGATCCAAAGAAAAACATGGTCAGGGGGTTGGCTCAAATAAGTCCATTGGGGATCGAGCGACCTGGTCAGGGCCGACCCGGTGCTCGATCCCCGAACGACCCGGTGCTCACCATATTTTGATATCGACCGACTCGGACGGACTGGGGATATGGGAGTCTTTTGGAAGATCTGCCTGGAGCGAGCCAGGTTGTTCAAGAGTGGACGTTGAACGTTTGAGTGGTTGTGCCAAGAATGGCTCGTTGAAGGGTCGGATCATTGAGCGGCCTTTTTCGTTTCTCTGAAATCCATCTGCAGTTCCAAGAATCCCCATGCTCATCCTGTTGAGATGTTAGATCTACCAGAAGCACTTGATTCAATGTCGCAATCGTTTTCGGATCACTTAGATTTTGAGAGGCTGCTGGGCAAAGACACAGATGCCAAGAGGGCCCAAGTCGCGTGCGTTCACCAGATTTCACATAGGATGAATCAGGCACACATGTTTCCATGATCTGATATTACGCATGAGATACCAAGCAAAGAAGACCTTGAAAACGATCTCAATCAGCTCAGCCGCTCTCTCCACATAAATCTGCGCCCCAAGATGCCGGCGCCGGTGAAGACGCCGGGAGGCAGGGGAGGAGTTGAAGCTAAGCTGGTTGGATGCTGATTATGACTCCATGTCTGCATTTTCTTTTAAACAAATTAAACCAAAGCCAAATCAGAAAGCCAACAGATCGAAACAACCTCCGAATCCCTGATGGTGGACGCTCCTTCCTTCCAAGCCAGCTGTTGTTTAATACTGATTTTGAGACACTTCCAGGGGTGTGTGCCATCCTTGCTTCTGAATCAAGAAAAGGCTCCACGTGCTTTGGGAGCATTTGCGTCCACTTCGCCATGGCCACAACGAGCGTTCGTGGCAGCCGGCTCTGGCCGACACCGGAGGAGTGTGGAATGAAGGGCTCTTCGATCAAAGAGATGGAAGATGCGACCTTGAAAGAGCAGCGCCTGCTCCTGGCGACAGAAGCAGAGCTTGAAACAGCTTTCTCGACGGAGCAAGCTTTAGCAGCTCAGCTTGCAGCGGCTGAGACCAAAGCACAGACCTCCTTGACAGAAGCTTCACAGATGTCAAAGGAGGCTCTTGAAAAGCTCTCTTTGTCGGAGGAACGGCGTGAGGCAGTGGCCGGTCACCTTTCTTCAGCAGTAGAGCAAGTTGAGCGCAGGATCGCAGATGCCGAGGCAAAAGCTGAAGAAGCTTGTGCCAGCTTGCTTAGCCGCCATGAGGCATCCCAGCGGGAGGCAGATGAAGACTTGAAGTCCTTCAAAGGTGAAATGGAAAGCCGAGCTCAAGCTGCAGAGGAGCTCATTTCAGCGATGCAAGATGAGCGAAGCCTGATGATATGCGGAGGGCTCTCAGCTTTGCGGGGAGAAGCTCTTGAGGCCCGACTCAACATGTCAAGGCAACGCATGACCGAAGCTTGTGCTGCTCATGAGGCTGCCGAGAAGCGAGAGGCCATGGCAAAAATGGCATATCGTGAAGCCTTGTCAGCCGAAGAAGAAGCTGCAAGTGAGGCTGTCTCTGAAGCGAAGCAGCAGAGTCGAGTGCAGGAGCAGCGAGCATCTCTTGAAATAGAGCGCATCAAGACAGAGGCAGAAGCCGCGAAAGCAGAAGCGGATGCAGCCGAGGAGTTGGCCAAAGGAGAGGCTAAGACCTTGTCTAGGGATGCTGAGCAAAAGTGCCTGGCTTTGACCAAGCAAGCTGAAAAGTGGAACGCCGATGCCTCTCAAGGCATGCGCGGCGCTGCCGAACGACTTCGAGGAGCTGAGGTGGCAGCAGCCCAGATTTGGAGAGACTCGGAGGAGCAGATCGCCAAGGCGGTGAGGCAAAGTGAGTGTGAGATGAAAGCGGCACTTGACAGCTGCCGAGAGGGTGAAGCTGCAGCTGAAGCAAAGGGTCTTAGGTTGAAGGATGAGCTCTGCGACCAGCTCCATCAGATCCAGAAAGAAGAGACCAGCAGCGAGAACGCATGGGCCAAGGCCATGGGGACGATACAAGCACAGAAGCAGCGGAATGAAGAAGATGAGACTCAGCGAATCTTTGCTGCAGAGCACTTGGGGGGTTGTCTGCTGTCTGAAGAGCTTGCTGTCCAAGAAGAGGCCGTTGCTTTTGAGATTGTGGAAGAGGAAGCTGCCAGTCGCCTTGAGGCAGAACTGGAAGCTCACCTCAAGGAAGCTGCCATGCAAAATCATCAGTTGGCTGAAGGAAACGAAGAAGCTTTGCGGCCCTTGACCGAAGCTCTTCAACATGCAAAGGACCGTGCATCGAAAGTCTGCAAGGCTGCTGAGGAGGCCGAAGCCCTCTTCAACCAAGAAGCTGCTGCCTACTTGAGAACTGCAGAGCTGCGAGAGTCACATCTTCAAGAGCGCAGCTTGACATTGCAGGAGGAGCTGCTTTTGGCCAAGCAAAGAGCACAGCAGCGGACCTCCGAAGAAGAAGCAACAGCTCAAGCGATTGAAGAAGATGCCCGCTGCTCTGCAGAGCAGCAGAACCGCGCCTGCTGGGAAGAGGTTGCAGCAACACATGTGGAGGCAGCACAGATGATGAAAACCATACATGAAGAAGAAGAACGCCTGAGCACAAGAGCACAGGAGCTTCTTGATGAATCTGCTCGAATGGAGGTGTCCACCAGAAAGATGCAAGAGGCTGAATTGACCGAGGAGATTGCTGCCAGAGAAGTTCGAACAGCAGTCAAAGAGGTGGAGGTTGCCCTGCAGAAGGTGCAACAGGAATGTGAGCACGAAGAAGCTGCCGTGAGGGTGAGGGGACGTTTGGAAGAGATAGAGATGTGTGAGGTGGAGGCTCACCGTCGTGATTTGGCCGAGATCCGTTGGCAAAGTGCAGAGTGGCACGCAGAAGAAGCCTCGCTACGCTGCAATGAGGCTATCGAGGCTGCAGCCTCTCTAAAGACAGAATACCGCAAAGAGTTGGAGGATATTCAAAAGAGGAGCGAAAAAAAGGAGTCGGAGGCCATGGCAAAGTTGCTTGCAGCTGAAAAGGCATTGGCAACTTCTTTGCAATGGTGTGTCAGGCAAAACCAGATCGGTGTGAATGTGCTTACCGCAGAGCAGGTTGCCGGTGTGAATGTCGGAGATGTCGAAAAGAGTCCACATTCTCCGATGCTATGACCGTTTACCCTGACAGAGTTAATGATTCTGCACAGTCTGCAAGGCCTGCAGTGTGCCTCCTTCAGGAGACACACGGACAGACCAGCTCTAATTCCGGGGCCACTGGCTCGGGCTGACGGAATTCCGTCCTTAAGAGGCCGGGGTGGGCGAGGTGAAGATCCAACAGGGGGACGCTTCGGATGCGAAAAGTGCGAAAAGTGCTTTGCAAGTGGCTGGATGCCATGCAGCACATATTAAACTTTATGTATTGCATATTATTATTGTTTGCAATTTCGAAGAAGAGAGGGGTCAACATTGGAGTTGTACTTTCTAGTGTTGCCCTCCAGTGAAGGCCAGACACTCACTCGAGCGGACAATCGCCGTCCGGCCAAGCGTGATCATCTTAAATCCATCACTTTCGTTTGTGTGGCTCGACCTGAGTTCCACCTGACCACAATACGCCTCCGAGCGGTTCCCAAAACGGATCCGAGTGGACGGAGTGTCGATCGATCGAGCGAGCGACCTTCAGGTCGCCTGGAACCGATCATTTACCCCGTGACCTGGGCGAAAGTCCGGGGTGGAGCTGAGGATCTGACAGATGGACTCATGGGGCCCGGGACGAGGGGCCACACAAAGCACGTGGGTCTTCTTTTCTTCGTTTCTTTTCTTTCTTGGACAGTGAAGTGCATGGGCTAGCTTTGCTACTTCACTGAGACATGGAGACTCCAGCTGTTGCTGTCCGATCAAGAACTGTTCCATCCTCCCGTCGACCTGATCTGGGTATCAACGTGGTCTTGCCACCACCCCTCTTGGTACCCCGTGAAATGGCCAACCTGCTCCAAACTTGACTCTTACTGCACTCGTGGGACACTTGGAGGCAGACACTCAGACTAAGGAATCAGCCGAAGAAGTTTCATCAGCGTGCTAGACGAAATTTGACCAACTCAAAAACACGACCACGGCCATGAGGCCGTAGCTTGCGGAATGGATCTCCGGACAAACGGAGTCTTCGGCAAACAGATGGTTCTGAAGGCACACGCATCGCGCATGGCTCCGCATGGCTCCGCTTGGCCACGTCCTTCAGGTCCCTGACTTCTTCAACACGCAAGAGGCGCCCAACGCTGCTCACGCCGAGGAGACCTTCTTGGGAGTTGGTGGGCTTTGGAGGTGGAGAATCCTTTAGTTCTGGTTACCACCATCGACTTCGAAGTCAAAGAACAGCGCACCTCAATTCTAAGGAATTGTTTTGCAAGATTGTCATAGGACTGCAGGAGATCCATTGCTTTGTTGCGAGCCCACGACCGATCTTGATACCAACAGAAGACGGGCAAGCTGTTTGCACGGTTGGATGAGTTTCTCTCCCTACATGTTCCTTGAAGATCCTTGAAGCAACATGTGGATACCTTTGGGTTCTCTACTATGCCGTCCTTTTTGCCATAGTAAAAGGACTTTGAATCCAACTGATTTCATCTCGATCCCTTCCTCTGAGCTTCAAAGGCTCCTGAATCCTTATGGGGTTGGGTAATTGTTCCGCACAACATTAAGGCTTAGGACAAGTGGATGAGGTTTGGTAGGCACGATAAATTTTATACGAATCGTATAAGGAACAAGGACGCTATTAGGTGGAAGCCATTGCAAGTAGGTTGGAGGCCATCGCTGAAAACAAGAAGCTACTAGTAACAAAGGGCATTACTACGAACGGAGCAAGAGATACACATCGTATAATCTCTCGCTTTTCCTAGGCCGATGCAAATCGATTTCCCAAGCGTGCTGGTCGTTATGTCGAACCTTCGAGACGAAACTCCCCTTCAGCAGACAGCCTTCTACTTGAACGCTAATGCCGTTGAACTGACACCCCTAGATTCACATAGATCCCCTGAAAACCCACTGGGATGGTAGGAGGAAAAGGATGGAGACTCGTCTTCCACCAGGTTTTATCCTTGCTACGAGTAGTAGTTTCTTGTTCCGTTCGTTACGCGATGCCCTTTCTTGTAGTGCCAGGAGTTACAGCCTCGTAGCTTCGTAGCTGGCCCGGTCCCGGTCTCCCGGTCTCCTCGGTCAGGACGGTCTGGCCTTCGTGGCGCTTCCTTCCTGGGGACACTTCCTCCCTCGCGCCGCCGCGCCGGGCGGCGATCCAGTGGCCCGGGGTACGAGCGTCTCAGAGTGCAGTACAGCAGACACGGAGCTGCTTCCGGGGCCGCCGCATGGCATGGTGAAGACGTGGTCCCAGGAGGTGTGTGTATGTGTGTGTGTGTAACCCTTGGAGTCACAGGGATCCTTTCGGATTGTTCTTCATTTTTGCTCTTTTTACCGTTTTTCACACCTCCCTGCTGACGTGTGTGGCGTTTGGTAACTATGCTCTCCAGCAGTCAGGCTGTTTAGGTGATGACAGGTCTGCAGACAAGTGCTCGCCGTTCGGTTCTTCATCGAATGTGTACTTTGACTTTTGAAGAACTTGTTTTTTGACGGTTTCGACGAATTTGGTCGTTTCCTTTCCGGCTTCAATTCACCTGGATTCTTGCCTGTATCTTGGAATTCTAAGTTGGTTCATGCCTGTACGTGACCGCAGCGGTCTAAGCAGCCAGCCATTTTGGCATGGCGTATGTGGCCGCAGCGGCCGAAGGTTCATTGGAACCTGTGGAGAACTTAGCCCCCTTCTTCCCCTGCCCTCCTCCTTTCTCTCTTTGCTTTCTCTCCCCTTTCCTTCTTTGGTGTGTCCCTGGACGACTGTTCGTAGCTGGGAACACCTTCCTTTCTCTCCTTTCCCCTTCTCTCCCTCTCTCTTTCTTTCCTTCTCTTTTTCCTCTCTTCACCCTCTTCCTTGGGCGTCCCTGGATGCTTTCGTCATAGCTGGGAGCCCTTCCTTTTTGGTGTGTCCTTGGACGCTTGTGCCGTAGCTGGGAACACCTTTGCTTCCTTCTCTCCCTCCTTCTCTTTTCCTCCTCCCCTCCCCCCCCTTTTCCTCGCGCGTGGCGTATTTACAAGCAAACTAGGCTTTTGCAACAGGTTTCTCAATGAGGTTTGGGCTGTCATCGGCTTGCCCCCTGTCACTTGGTTCCCCTTTCATCCGCCCCGACAGACATTTTTTTCCTTCTTTCCTTTCATGTCCTTCTGTCTTCATGTCTCTTCATCCTCATCCTTTCTTTCTCTTGCGCGCACTATCGTCCGGACCTTAGTTTGTACACATACACGCACGCGTACTCTACTTACAGCGAGGTTCAGGTGGCCCAGGTTCGTTACAATGAGGTTTGGCTCATCGGTTGTCCCTCTTCACTTGGTTCCTTTTCATCGGCAGCCACACACACCTCTGTCTGTCTTGTCCTTTTCATTTTCATCTGTCCCTTTTGCGTGCGCATGTGCCTACCTCCTTTCCGGGCAGGATGGAGGTCACACATGCCTCCCTTCGGGGAGGCGTGTGTGTGTGTAACCCTTGGAATCAAAGGGAACCGTAAGGTTTGGAACAGGGGGCTGGAGTGTGCGGCAGATGTCTCCAGCCAACGAAGACGCATCTGTCGCACAGTGATATAGTTCTGGGACGCCAGAACTATGTACCTGTTCCACTATTTAGGAAAACAGGAGGAAATGGTACTCGACACACTTGTGTGTCGGTGCCTTTCCTTCTGTTTTCCTCTAAGGCTACTCTTCAGGTTTACAGGTAGGCCTCCAAACTTTGTAAGGGGTTCTTTAACGTGAACTTTGGCCTCCACCCACTAGAATGGACCCCCAACTTTTGCTGTTTTGCTGTTTTGCTGTCTTGTTTGTCTTGTGTTTCTTGTCACCTACTAGCGAGGGCCCCCAACCTGCCTTCGACGGCCTCCAACCTAAGAGCGAAGACCTCCAACTTTGACCGCTTTGCTGTCTAGTGGTTTCGTGTCTCCAACCTACTAACGATGGCCCCTCAACCTGCCTTCGACGGCCTCCAACCTAAGAGCGAAGACCTCCAACTTTGACCGCTTTGCTGTCTTGTGGTTTCTTGTCTCCAACCTACTAGCGATGGCCTCTCAACCTGCCTTCGATGGCCTCTAACCTAAGAGCGATGACCTCCAACTTTGCACCTTGTTTTACTCAGGTTTTTTTAAACCTAGGCCGGCGTGTGGCACCGCTATCACGTCAGTACGCATATCCATAAGTGTGTGCGTGTGTGTGTGTGTGTGTCTTTTTGTTGGGTGGGGGTGGGGTGAATGATGTGGATGGAATTTATGCCGTTTGGGGTTTTTGAGGAAGGGCTGGGGGTCTCAGAAATAGAGGAAACCTTTTGAGTCAATGGTTGCAGAGAGGAGATGTGTATTTGTAGCTGCAGTTCTCGGATTAGCATCCTTTTTGAGGAGAGAAATGAATGATGAATTGGCAGAACTCATCGATTACACTGGCCCCCCAACCTTTTGCCTACACCTTTGTGCACACACTCTCCCCCAAAACCTCTCTTGCTCGTGCCTTTTTCGGACTCCCTGACTCCTCTCAGGAAGCCGTGGCACCCCACGTCCGTGACCGCCTTGGTGAACGTCTTCTCCACCCTGCTGGAGGCGGCCTTGAGTTGCCACCGCCCGGGAGGCGGCTCCTATGTCACACCAGGGCAGCGACGGAGCAATGTGGCCCGGCGGAACCGAATCGATCGACCTGGGCGGCGCCGAGTCAAGACTGGAGCGGTCGGATTCGGATGGTACTTTTTTGTTGCTTTGCCAGATTGGAAAGGACATGGGGTATCATGAACGACCTTGGAAGGTTGCAAGTGCTGTCAAATCTTTTCATGGATCATAGATTCATCGTTTGCCCACACGATCCATACTGCCCCCCCAAAAACGGCCCCGCAGCCCGCGAGTTATGCGACCAAGAACCAGCTGTCAGCAGTTTGTTTGTTCATTCCGCAAAAGAATTGGTTCCGTTCCCACAGATGAATGATGAATTTGTTCTGAAGATTCTGAAGTAATCCAAGCAGAACCTGAAGACGAGTTGACGGGAACCTGAATGCCCGCCCCCCACGAGGCGCGTGCCATCCCTGGCATGCCCACCATTAGAGCCAACTGAGCAGATTTTTGTTGAAGCGAAGGGCTTCCAATTCGATCCTCCGAATTTCCTGCACGGAATGGTGATTTGCATGTGTCTCATTGGTGATGTGGGGTTCAACATAAGCTTCAACAGGTGCTGTTCCTCAGAGAGGCTGTTCAAAGCCTTGGGCAGGATCAAAAGGGGAAATTTGGAGCAGTGCATCATACTTTTGGGCAATTGACCCGCGAGCGGGAGAGCCTACTGCTCAATGGGGCAGTGGTTCGATGGATCC